TGAGTTGGGATCAAAGAAGAGAGGAAAGAAAAAAAGTTGCCACTACACTCACTTCTTCCTATCAGTTTTCTTAACAATCTAATAATCCTCTAATATCAACGTGTGACTTTATTTACTTTAGATGTGGTAAGAGGTTAATAGACACATTACTGGTCTTTGAACATCTCTGTTGTAAACCCAACTGGTAATCTTTCTGATCTCTCATCTCACCAGGAATGTCGATTTGGTATCTCAGATGGAACTTTTCATTTTAACTTCTTGTAATACATACACACACATTCACACACAGTGCTTACCATTTTCCTTCATATTTTGAAAGATGTATATAAATTGCATTTTATTTTCTTGTATATTTGAGAAATCACTACAGTGACTATTGCTGTTATTAAAAAGTATAAATTAAAGAGATTATCAAATATAGCAATGATTGAGATAAAGTAAAATAAAACAGTATTAAAACTTTGAACCAAATTTTCTGTTAAAGCATTTAATAAAGATTACGATGGCCTTCCTTGAGACTCATAAAAGTCCTTTTCATTCAGCCAGTTGCTCACTAAAAATGTTGACTAATTAAGCCAACTAGCTGCCAGCATATTGGAGTATAAACCTCCAGGGAAACAAGAAATGACTTAATAGATTTAATGAGAAAGTATTATGTAGTAAAGTAGCATAAAATGTTTATAGACCACATAATCTATGAACATAAATATACAACCTAAATGTTTAAAATGGTTTTGTCAGTACATATAGATTAATTTTGTTTTCTTTTTATTTATCTTGTTACTGTATCATTATATGTTGTTTTTATAATCAGAAAAGCTTCAAAATTATTCATAGCATTATATAGAACTAGTTGGCTCTCAAAAGAACTCAAAAGCTAGTAGAATGATAGCTACGTATGACTGACCATGCTAGCTCCGTTATTGTAGTTAGCATTCAACATTACTCTTCCAAGTATGTGAATCTTGTAATCACTTTTCCACAAAGTTTCTTTAAAAAGTCTGAGTCTAAGAACAAATCTATACATGAGAGTTAATTTTTCTTGGCTTCTTTTGCTCACTCATAGTCTGTGAACTTGTTTTTGTTTTAAACAAAGTTAATTTCTTTTCACTTTAACCATTAATAACTTTTTACTTTTCTTCACAAATCAAGCCTACACATTCTGCTATTGAATTGGAGAAACTTTACTGTGAACAATGCATTTAGCTTCTTTTAACAACTCTACAGTCTTGGCCATGATTAAAATGGGTCAAAATAGGTACAGAAACAAGATAGTGGGTTCTTCTAGTTTCAGAATAGCCTTATCATATATTGTAAGTAAGAGGTTATATTATAGAAATTCAAATAAGAGGTGTGATCATGTATATCTGCCAATAGTTCCCTCCAAAAATAAAACATTATTATTGATAATAAAATAATTTCCCAAAAGCTGGATACAGATAGTAAAACTTAAATAGTATCTATGTTCCATAAAACACATTATAACAGAGCCTATATGCTAGGGTGGTGAGATTCTGGATAGAGAAATGATTTTGTGTGTGTGTGTGTGTGTGTGTGTGTGAGAGAGAGAGAGAGAGAGAGAGAGAGAGAGAGATGTGTGTGTGCTATGTATAATTCAGAATCACAATTAATCAATTTGGAGTCATTCCCCCTCTCCCTCATCATTCAATAATAAAGACAATAGAAACTGTGTTCTATAATATAGATATAACGCTATTGAATGCAGTTTACAGTGATCTCTGCCAGCTCAGGTAGAAATTAAATCAGAAAAATTCTTTATAAGCTGGCGTAAACTTGAATCTTGAATTGTAGTGATGGTTTCAAAGGTGGAATCAGTACAATATTTTCTATATTTTTCATGGTTTTGTGATGCCCACGTTTCTGGTCCTGTGGAGACTCTTTTCCAAATTTTTCTACTCTTATAACCTCCACTGCCTTCACCATCTGGGCTTGAACCGGTTATTTGCCTGTTTAACTACTGAGTTTCAAATCTGAAATTGTAAGTGAATTCAATTCACTTTTTTTATAATTCACTAATTATAAAAAATACATAAAACATTGTCTTTTAAAAATATTATCACATTTTCCAAAACAGAGCCCTACATTTTCTGTAGCCCCATACAGTAGATATTGTCACATGAGTATCCTTCAATAATAAAACTATTTATTCAAAGCAACTTGAGGGTTCATAAGGAATACCTTTACACAAATCAGTATATTGGTTTTGAAAGAATATTTATCTTGAATTCTAATGGTAGAATTTATCCTCCGATTTCTGTGTTTGGGGCAACAGTGAAAGCTTCCATTTCCCTGTAAAAAACACATAAACTAGAAATTGGCTTACAAGTTTTTCTTACTGAAAAGAAGTCTTATAGATCCTTGCTAGGGAATATTTGAATATAATAATCATTGTAACCACATGAGAAGCAAGGATATCTGGTTATTTATTTCAAGGGTTGAATGGAAGGGGGTAGATCAAAGGGGGGTGTAAAATATGGTGAGAAACAGGACATCTGAAAAGAATGCTGTTTTGGTATCACTAATTAGGTGCATGAACTAGAGCAAGTTATTGAGTCTCTGAATTTGTAAGTTTCTCATCTTTTTTTTTTTTTAAGATTTTATTTATTTATTCATACAGAACTGGGGTACAGGCCAGAGATGCGGAGGGTGAGAGGGTTCACCAGACACAGAGTAGGGAGCAGAACAGGCAGATCAAAGAAGTACACTGCTGAGGGGAGCAGCGGGCGGGTCAGGAGAGGTCTGCCACGCCATGTGGTCACCTCCGGAGCATGTGGGGATGAGCTCATGCAGAAGTGGCTTTAGCTTCTTAGTGCAGTGCTTTAACCCACTGCGCCACCAGGGAGGGCCAGTTTCTCATCTTTGAAATAGGGATAAGGACATATATTTCCCCAAATGTTGACTGCTAAATTTAATGAAGTTTGTAAAGTGCTTACTAAAACTAATTTTATTTTTTTGCAATTTGGAACACTGTACAGTACTTAATAAATTTTGGTTCTCTTTTCTGCAGTAAAGGATATGGGTGTGCTTACTTAAGATTAACCTCCTGTTGATGATTTTACTTGGAGCTTGACCAGAAGTTTTCAATTATATGAAAGCAGCTTTATTACTTTTTGCAATGGTTTTCCTTAGATGCTGTTTCCTGACACTAGCTTTCATGTACTTTATTCTTTCATAAATATATATGATACATTGTATGGAAATCACATGGAAGATTGTAATTAGCACTCACAACATGGTTGAAGATTAAGTTTGATACAATGGCCTCTGAAAGGTTTGGAATTGTGTACCTAAAATAGTATTTATTAACTATTAGATGTCAAACAATCCCCTATCAGAAAATAAAAATATGAAAATTGTAGAGTAGACAAGTACAAACTCATGTGTCTCTTGGAAGGCTAACATTTTTCCTTACACACTAGACGTTGTTATTATGATTGTCAAATGCTGAAAGTTCAGGAAATGATCTGTGGCTCTGAAAGATGCCACTTCATTTTATTTTAAGTGTAGGTCATTTAAATAATTTGTTACTGACTATATTAGCTTCATTAGCATATTTTTCATTATGCGTTTTTTGTGATTTAAGTTCAGAAGGAAAATGTTTGAATTCTGCGATTTTCTCATTTGGTAAAGCAGTGTCAGTTTCTAGACTTTTTTCTCTGGAGTATTTGTGTGTGCACTTGATTTGTCAAAAAGGATTTTTGATAATTTGTTTTACACAGTTACACACTTCATCCATATATGAGCCTTGTATGGGGGAGAATTTGCAAAACTCTATATGGATAAGGTGCTGGGTTGTGAATGCCAGTTATACCTTTCTAGATCAGGCGGTGGTACATGATATTCTCTAAGTGCCCTATATTCATGAGTTTTGAAAGAAACTGAACAATTCAACCAATGTTAAACTTATTTTGAAAATGTGTGTAATTATATTTGTGTATGTGGTATGTATGCATGTATGTGTGTATAAACATGCATATACATATGTGTGTGCACATGCACACACACCAATACTTCAGTAGCTTAAAACACAGCTCAGACTTCAAGCTTCTGGGACTTAAGGTCCTTCCTTTTCTGTTATAGTTTTCCCTTCCAGTGATAATAATAGCCAATTCCTAATAGCCACTGCATCCCGTCTGTGACAGGTTTGCTTACTCACTGTTCCTCAGCTGTGAAGGATAAATGAGGTAATGCCTAAGTAAAATGCTTTCAGACCAATAACACATTATATAGCTTATGAGTTATTGTTATGTATTGCCCATTTTTTTATGCCCTTGGTCAAGTTTGATTTCCTTCACAGAACCTTTCCTCACCAGCTGAGGTCACTGTGATCAATATTTTCCCCTATATCCCATAGGAGATATGATACATCTTACTTGTCTTTTATATGACTCATGGTCCAAAGCTGAATGCAAGTTCAGCAAAAGGAGAGGACAAATGTCATTTGTTTCTCCGTCTCCACAGTGTCTGGCTCCAGATTTCACAGAGAATAAGATAAATGCATATTTGTTGATAATTGTGTGCTGTACCCAGATGTCATTAAGGTTTTCAATAAACAAATTACTCATTTAAGCAGTTATCTTCCACTTCAATGTAGTCTTTGGGAAAAAAAAAATACATGCTTCCATGGAAGGACAACACATAAACACCAAGAGTAAACTGTATTTGTTGTTTGTGTAATATGCTAGTATTAATTATCTTTAAGTTACTCTTGTATAATTATAACTAGAACCATCTGTTCTTGCTACATATTTTACTCAAGATTATATGGTTCATAACTTTTTTTTTTTTCTGTCCAACCCATGGTTTGGAATATTTAGGTATGGGTTGAACTGATCAGGTAGCAAACTGTATCAAGCAACAACAACAATATCAAACAACAACGACAACAAAACTTTATCATTTTTTTCAAAGCTTCCTTTATTTTTAATGAGTGAACACTATTTTAATAAAAATCAATCCAGATAATTTCGTTATTGATGTTATGTTTTTCTTTTAATGAGGAACTTATGAAACCAGAAATTGTGTTTCATATTCTAGCCTCCCAGAGACCTTCTACATGGTATTGGAACTCCTCTCCTGTCAACTTTCTAATCTATTTCATCCTGTGACCCCCTCCCATTGACAAACCAATAAATAATCCTCTTAAAATGCTAATATTGATATTTAAAATAATAGAATCTCTTTTGTAAGCAGGATTGTGGGATTCACAGACAAATGAAAATCTCCTCTTAGGAAACATTTGCATTAACTTTTAGGGATCTTTCTCTGTATGTGCTGGAGGAGCATATGGTGGAAGGAGATGATCCTATTTTATATAAAAACAAACAGTGACTTTTCATTTATCTCTCTAGATGAAACCCAGTCCTGGTGCAGACAAGTACAGACTATAGCTTTACAGAAATATCCCTAGGTTAAAAGCAACCATTTCAAAGAACCTTGAAAATTTGCAACTTGAGATCTATTTTATGAATGGTTTATAAAATAAATTTACCACACACTTTTAAATTCCAAATACCAATATTTATTTCAAATTTTCTTGCAAATTTCAGGAGTTATATTTAATCAGCTCTTAATTATAAATTCTGGTTCACATTCTTCATCTGTCTTTGAAAACAGACAAACTTATTGTAGTTATAGAGCTCAAGTTATCTCTTTTTTCTTTGTAGTCTTAAGACCAAAATTTCTATATGACAGCAATGGCAGAAAAGAGTCTCACATATGTGCCAGACTAGTTTCTGAACAGAAAATAGTCTTACCTCCTAAGCCATCACTGAGTTATTGGTGAATAAACTTTTTATGATGTCACCATAAGCAGTACCAACACCATGCATTTTACTTGATGTTATTATGCTGGATGGAGTATTAAGACATGATGTAAACATCTCAGTAGCAGTAAAAAAAATCAAATGTTTACTGCAAATGTGTGTATGTCTAGACATAACAAAACAATAAAGAGCCACAGAGAATGAAAATTAATCTTACTCAATTCTAATTGCAAAAATTATGCATTAAATTGAAACAGGTAACTATACTTAAAATGAAGCCAGTGACAGTAGCAAAATCTTGAAGTCATTTGGTTATCATACATTTGAAATAGTTAAAATAGATATGGGTGAAACGGAGGTGTACAGACTAGTTATTTACATTATGTCTCACAAATGTATTACTATATTAGCCATACTAACAAAAATGTATCTGGTTTGTGGTTTGGTCTAGAATTCCCATTGAAAAATAATAGTAATATAACTTTTTAGCATAACAGAATTGCCCTGATTCAGTATCTATGGAGTTTATTTTTATTTCTTAGAATTTCAGAAAAGTATCCTTTTGTTTTAAACATTAAATTCCTTTGTACAAATACACTTAGTGGTTTATTCTTATCCAAACCATAGGAATTGGCCAAACCATCTCACTGACCTCAGAATAAATTATTATCATATTATAATTTGTCAATTATACTATCTGGAGCAAAAATTAAATTTCCTGTTATTTAGACTCAAGTGGAATTTAAATAAATGAATAAAAATTTCCATAAGAGTGGAGTTCCTTTCTCATACATTAACACTGGATAGATAAAAATCTTTGAAAAGAAAAAGTTATTCAAAACCCCGACTTCTTCTAAGTCACTTTTAATATAGCAGAGTATGATTTCAGTCAAATAACTTGGACAGATGCTTAGAAAATGTCAAAATGATATTGCATTCTCAGAGTACTCAGAAAGAGGTAAACTCTTAATTTTGCTTTAAAATATAACCAGGACAGATAGAGCTGTTAGTTCAGAGAGGAAATGCTTGGGATATTTGATATCCATCAACAACAGCAACCTCAGTTACATCAGACAAATCATTTTCTGGAGTATTTGGGTTTACACAGTTGTCCAAAGTGTAGGTTAAGAGCCAGACTTCTTGGTTTAAATCCTATCTTGTCAATTACTAATTCCATTTCCTAAATGTTTAACATAAAGAGAAACTCCTCATGATCAGCCAGCAAGATTAGATCAAGCAGCCAGGAAGTTAGATGAAGAAGATTTTCTTATTGTGGTATCTGCTTTGGTAAGAACACATAGTTCCTTTTGCCATTTACTCCATGCGTCATGAAGAGACTGCTGGGATGGAAGAGATCAGCTTGTAGGGCTGGAAGAACAGATAGAGACGAGTGAAACAGACAGAAAGAAAAGTAGTGTGAGAAAGCAATCAAAAGCTTGGTGAAGAAGCTACAGAAAACAGGACAATTACATGGACATGAGGTAACCATGGCCATCCAGAATCACTCTCCAAGTTTCACAATGGACACATTGCTAGTTGTCACAACTAAGGATTGTTACTGATGTTGGGTGGGAGATCATGGATTCTAATTATATAGTCAAACACACTTTAGTTTCCCAACAACAAAGTGTTAGTTTGCATCCATATGGCAATAGTGACAGGGAGGAGTACCAGTGCCCCAGTCTAGAACTTGCTCTGTTGCTGAACTCTGGTATGTCTGTGGTCTGCCCTGAATGTCGTAGGCGTTCAGAGAGCTTTTTCCATTTTGGCTAGTAGGTATTTCTGCTAAGACTGTATTCAATTTTAGAAATTCTAAGCTACTAGAGCTCAGAAAGCTGTTGAAAGTTCCATTATTGTTTTTAGAATATTCCTTCTAAGGACTGTCGTCTTCTCACTCAAGCTGTTCCAGTCTGCAGCCAGTCTATCAGTAATACAACCAGCTGCATTCTGGAGCACATCCTCCCAAGCTTTTCTCTTTTTTTCTGAACACCGGCAGCAATTCTCTTTGGATACGTTTTCAACCTTTTGCCCAAACCCATAATTAGGAAGTACACAAAGGGTAAAAGGCTGTCTCCATGGGATAGGGTCATTTTTTTTTTTAATTCTTCCCTTTCTGAAATCTTAGGCTGTTCAATTCTCATAGAATTTTGTTGTTCTCAAGCAGATACTCTGTGCTATGTGGTGTTTTATTTTCTTTCTTTTTTTAATTTAATTGTTCCCAATAGGAATGTCAGCTATTGTTAGGAAATACATATCATTTACAAAAAGTACTTCTTTAGTAATTTTTTTTTTCATTACAAGATCAAGGTTTTATTTTAAGGTTTATTTATTTGTGCATACAGAACTGGGGTACAGACCAGAGGCACAGGGATGTTGAGAGATTCACCAGAAAGAGAGTGGGGAGCAGAACAGGCAGATCCACGAAATACACTGCTGAGGGGAGCAGCAGGTGGGTCAGGAGAGGTCTGCGCGCCATGTGGTCACCTCCAGGGCAGGCAGGGATTGAACTCATGCTGAAGAGGCTTTAGCTTCTTAGTGCTGTACTTTAAACCACTGCGCCACCAGGGAGGGCCGAGATCAAGGGTTTTACATGTCTTTTTAAAAATATTTTCTTGGATTCCCAGATTATAAGCAGCATCTCAAATATTGAATACCTGCTAAGTGAATGAATAATGGAACATCTTCCCAGCAAAACAGGCAGTTTCATCAAAATATAAGTCATCTTATTTTGAATGTACAGCTTAACTTTACAGAAATATATTTTATTTCTCTTTTGTGTCCTAACATTTGGTAATTATGGGCTTAATTTCTTTACAGTTTGACTTATTTCTTACAGTAATAGGGACATATCCTGCTGCTATCACATCTTAGCCTAAATTTTGTATTAACAGATAATACCACAAAAGGATAAAAACTTGCTATAAAAACAGATAGACAAACCAGGAATTTTCTGTGTAGCATATATTAAAGACAAAACTTGTATTTCCTCAAATATTTGTTTTAGGTTTGCAATTAAAGGAATAGTTTTCCTGAAATCAATTAGTCAGTCATTCTATCCACCTAGTTATCTAGCTGCCCTATATATTCTGAGTGATTGGTAATATTTTTTTTAAAAAATGTTTTAGTAAATATAGATAAGAAAGCAATATCTGAATGCCAGTGAACAGGCTTTCTCAAAAAATAAATTATTGGGCCCTCCCCGGTGGCACAGCGGGTTAAATCACAGCACTAAGAAGCTTAAGCCACTTCCTCATGAGTTTGATCCCTGCCTGCCCTAGAGGAGATCCACATGGCCAGGCAGACCTCTCCTGACCTGCCCCCTGCTCCCCTCAGCAGTGTACTTCACCAGTCTTCCTCTTCTGCTCCCCGCTCTATCTCTGGTGAATCCTCTCACCCTCCACATCTCTGGCCTGTACCCCAGTTCTGTACGAATAAATAAATCTTAAAAAAATAAAATTAAATTAAATTAAAATAAATTATCACACATAAATAGTTCAGTTGTTTCTGGCTTCTATTAAGATATCTTGACAACTTTTTCCTATGGCAGCAAAAAGTGCCCACTGAAATACTTTTATTCAAAAGCATCAGTTAAATCAATCCCCCTGGAGATGACTGGGACCAAAGGTAAAGATTGACTAGCAATATTATTCACTAAAAGAATAAGAGAAAATCATCATTCACTAAACAAACTTATTCAGTGTTCTTTATTAGGTCCTGATACAAATCTAAAGAACGTGAACTTCATTTTGAATCACTGGAGTAAACAAGCACTTTTAAATCGGTAATGTTACCCTTTATTTGACTGAGAGTATAGCTAAAGAATGAATAATGATCATGAAACAGTGAATTTCCACCATCAGACAGATACTACCTTAGTGGGCTTAGGAGTCTTATCACAATGAACTTTCTAGGTTAGTGTTAGGATTTGATCATTTCAAGTGTCTTGCGCCTCTGGGATGTAAGTACTTGCATCTGTGTGGATAGAAATTTTTTTTACAAAAGTCTCTACACAATGCTTGGGAGAGATCACCAATGACTGCCTTTATTTTCCTTAATGTGTTTATTTTCACTGTATTCTCACCATTGACATCACTGGCCTATTGCTAAATTTAAGAAAAAAATGAGAAGCTTTTTTTTTTTTCTGAGATTTACCAAGTCATGAAAATTCTTCTGAAATGAGAGCTCTCACAAAGCAGAGTACATTACATTTCACAGCATGAGATAAAAACTTGAGTCTCTTAATTTGAAATAGCCAAATGACCCCGAGTTGCTCATTTTAGATTAAAGCCCTAATGGTACCGTTGCCCATTGCAACACAACTTCATTCTTCACTTTTATGAAACATCAGCCTAAAAGGGACCAGGATTATTATTTAAGGACATTTAAAAAGCAGAGCTGAGGCACCCAAATAAACACATTTAATGAAGTGAGATCCGTAGTCACTAAGGCGCTAATGAACTGTAAGATTAGCTGCAGCAACAAACCTCTACTGTGTCCCCTCTTGCCAATAGCAGGGACTCCAGTTAGAGAGATAAGATGTAGAACTCATCCAGTGTTCAATAAGAGGACAGCTGAGACAAAGTTCTTCCTCCATAGCCCTCTGCTGTCAAATTGGCATCAGAAACCTGGATCAAAGTGAATGGAAAGTCAGCTATACTAACTTGATTATTTTTGTTCCGAATTAGCAAAGAGGAGTTTCTCCCTATAACCTGAAATCAACCAGTCAATCTCTGTCTGTCTATCTATCCAGCCATCTAAAATCCCTGGTTACTTATTTTTGTCAAATGGCTTTACTACCAAGATTCTGCTTAAATATACAACTTTGTAGATCTGGAAAGGGGAAATAGTAAAAATTTGTATAGGCCTATATTGGGCAACAGGTCTTAATGAAATTAAAAAACAAATCCAGCCATGACTTGTATATTGACAGCAATGATTTGGATATTGCAAGATGTCTACAGGTGACATCTTTCCCTACTATGGCAACTCTTACCCTCCTATATACACACACCCATAAATTGCCCTGCCTTAAACTGGCTAAAGTATCTCATGACATTTAAACAAATAATTTGTCAGCTTTTTCTTTTTTTCTTCCGCTCTACCTACTGTCTGCCTCAGAGCATACTAGTAAACCAACAATTTAGCTTAGATGCAGTAAATGTGTATATGCATAGATGCACAGGGAACTCAAGAAAGCAAGAAAAATCAGCCTCCCTGGCTGCTCCCTGGCGGCCTACGGGTTGTCTCAGCACTATGACCCCTGCTGCCTGAGTTGGATCACTGGCCAGAAAGTGATCCACATGGCACAGCAGACCTCCTGTCTCTGGTGAGTCCTTTTACCAGAGGACTCTCTGGCCTATACCCCTGTTCTTTTGGCAAAAATAAATAAATAAATCTTAAAATGAAAGAGAAACCAAGGAAATTGAACTCAGTAGGAGGGGGAGAAGGGAGAAAGCAAGATAAAGTGGGGGAAGAAGTAGGCAGGGAGGCAAACAAAAGGGTTTTGACTGGTCTAGTAACCAAAGACATAGGCATGGCCTATTGATCAATTTAACACACCAAGTGGCAGTTATGCATAAATTTGAAAAAAAATATACCTTGTAGTCTGTTAATTTTTTGTGGTCTAAAGAATTGCTGTATAATCAGTTTGGCTGCAGCAGTCAGTATTGATCAGAAAACAGAGAGATTGGATATCTGGAGGCCAGTTCATTCTCTCACCTGCTGTGTATAAGCAGGGTATGTTTAAAATTGAAAGATGTCCTGGAAGCTTTCAGTCCATTAAGCAAAAACAAAAATAGAGTCTTGTATTGTGACAAGTAAATTGCTTCCTGACCTAGTCTGTGCCACATGTTTATCACGACCTTCATGTGGTCAACAAGTTACGGAGTGCATAGCTACTTACCAGTCTAGGAAAGTGACACATTTTCCTCTCCTCTCTTGCTCTTAACCTCACTTTTCATGCCTCCCCCATTGGAACTGTGCTGGAGGAGCATCACCATGAGGCTGCTTGAATCACAACTTTAGTATATTCCAGTTAAGGTGAGGAAAAGACAACAAGGTCAGCATAACCCCCTTGGGGCCAGATAGGCTTTGCAAGATGTGAAGGTTCAGTTATTTTCAGCCTCCTGGAGGAAAGACAATGTCAAAGTCTCATTTTTTTTTTTTTTTTGGTATTGTTTGTTCACCTTCCACCCTTTTTACTGCAAGCCTCCTGTCTTTGTCTTTTCTGCATCTTTCTTTACTACAGCTCTAGCTGGTCGTGAATCCCAGGTTTTGTCCAATGTAAAAAAAAAAAAATCCTCTGAAGAATCATTCCTAGATTTTCTGGATCATATTCATAAGGGAATGCCAAGTAAAACTTTTATGGAGTTGCAACTAGGAGCAGGTAAAATATGCAGCGAGTGAAAGGTACCATTTGTTTTGGGTTCAAGGAATGTGTATTTTTCCTTAATATAAGCAATGGTAGCAAACATTAACTTTTTATTTATATTTTGTCTTAAAATATAAATATGAATTTGTAAACAATTTCACATTACATATCGATTCCAGATCAAAGGAGAGTATAAATATGTAAATGAAGCTTTGATAGTTTTGGCATTTATAACAACCTTTATATATATTTATTTTTAAGGCTTCATGTGCATCACAACTTTTTTTTTTTTTTAAGATTTATTGTACATACAGAACTGGAGTATAAGCCAGAGGTGCAGGTGGAGTGAGAGGAATCACCAGAGACAGAGTGGGGAGCAGAACAGGCAGATGATAAAGAATACTGCTGAGGGGAGCCATGGGTGGGTCAGGAGAGGTCTGCGTGCCATGTGGGTCACCTCTAAGCCCTGATATCGAACTCACACTGAAGCAGCTACAGCCATCTTGCAATGCTGTGTTCTAACCCGTTGCACCATCAGGGTGGGCCCAATATTTATATATTTAATCCTGTCAAAGATCACTACTTTGACAGTTAATGATTTTGGAGACTACATAACTTGCCCAAATAAATTAAAGTATTTCTAGAAATTAAAATATTTTGATGAAATAGCATAATTTCAAGTTAGCCATTTTTAGCTTGAATGGCATTCAAGGCTTTTCCATCTTTAGACCACATCTCCTCAGCTGGCTCCTAGCAGCCTCCAAGCAGCCTCCACTCTTCATTGTATTTAGCAGGCACTGTCAATTACCATTTAGTGCTTAAAGATGCCCTGTCCCTGGAAAGATACTGCTTTCTTCTTTTCTGTCCCTTCTAATTCCAATATGATTTTCTCCTCTACCTGGATAGCTCCTTTTATAGAATCTGGAGTAGGTAGTCAGTGCAAACATCTCATTCTGCTATTTCCAGCTGTAATTTTGGGCAAGTTAACAAATTGTGTACCTCAGTGTTTCATAATCTGAAGCTTGCAGTAGTATTGGCCATATAAAATTGCTTGTGGATTGAAAGTTTAAACTATTGCAAGTATTGGGACTGATGATAATCAACCAAAGTCCAAAAAAGTATCTTACTTTTCATATAATTTCCTTTTAAATGACACATATTTCTCCTAATATGAGGTATTCTCCATTGTCTTGCTAGCTTAGATTTTCTAAAATGAATAATTTACTTTCTTGCTAAAAATACTTCAGTAGTACTCTAATGTTTTCAGTGTACTCAAAGGTCTTCATAGTTGAATCTCTATTTTCATGAGCAATTTTATCTCATAATTTCCAGAAAGAGCTAAACAATTGAATGGCAAGTGTTCACTTGCGTGTGGGCTCATGGAATAGACATAGCCATGGAATACTACATAACAAAATCCTTTCCAGATCTCCTGTTTGAGAATAAAGACTCAGTCTGTGTCCTAGGCAGAATTAGAGCAGAAAGTAGCATCATTGAAATGTGTGGCCTGTAGAATAATCAAACGTTTGTATCATCCTTTCAGGACCAATGAGCCTAAAATCCTTATCATAAAAAACGGGGAAGCTAAGGAGGTTACAAATCTGTGTCCTTCCTCTTCACTGTTTCCTCTCCTTTGGTTATGCACACAGAGATTTAGGGCCTCTAAGGCATTCCCTCTTAATTTAGACACCTTCATATTTTCCTACTCTAAATGTTTGGGGAATAAATACATGACAAAAATAAACTCAGTCTATAGTTTTTTTTTTTTTTTTTAACCTTTGTCTACATGCATATTGTCACCTCCAGATTCAGATAAGCATGTTCACATCCCAGAATATTCCTTTGTTCTTTTCCTTCCCAGATAATATCCACACACACTCCAGAGAAAACTGTTTTATTCTGACTTCTTCCAATATTAGTGAATTCTGAATGCTTCTAGAGCACATTCTGTCTGGTTTCTTTCATGCTAAATATCTGCAAGATGTGAGCAGGTTGTTTTGTGTATCAATGTTTTATTTCTTGCTATTACTGCATAGGATTTTACTGAATAAATATGTCACAATTTGCATTTTTGACTCTTTAGTTGGTGGACACTTAGGGAATACCTAATTTGAGGCTACAGTATGAAATGCCTTGTCTGCATTTTTAGGTAGACATAGATGTCCCTTTCTCTTTTATATGTATATATCTAGAGATGAAACTGTCATATCATCAGAAGCTATAGTTTTGATATTTTTGACTTTTTTTTTCAAATTTCTCTTCATTTCCCAGTTCCTTTTCTTTTGTCATTGAGCCGTCCATCTGGACTCTTGCATTATTACTATATTACATTATTAGTCAAGATTACCCTCTTATACAAACTTCATTTTTTAACTGCATACCTAATCTTGAACAATTAAAAATGATACAAATAGGCCCTCCCTGGTGGCACAGCCGGTTAAAGCACAGCACTGAGAAGCTAAAGCCACTTCCGCATGAGTTCGATTCCCGCCTGCCCCGGAGGTGACCACATGGCGTGGCAGACCTCTCCTGACCCACCCACTGCTCCCCTCTGCAGTGTACTTTGTTCATCTGCCTGTTCTGCTCCTCAGTCTGTCTCAGGTGAAGCCTCTCGCCGCCCCTGAGCCTCTGGCCTGTACCCCAGTTCTGTATGCACAAATAAATGAATCTTTAAAAAAATGATACAAATAGATACATGTTTTTCCTTAATTTAGTAGTTGGAATATTCCTACTTTGTAGGAGTATGTTAAAGTAATACAAATTATTGCAAGATGCCAGCAAAAATTGAATTTTTGCTAGAAATTTATTATTTGGAGCTTTGTGTACTTTTTACAATTTATTTTTGACCCCTTACTAAAGTATCTATAACTATAACTTAATTGAGGTTTGTTTATTTTTTTAAGTTGATTAGTTTGTCTTTCTGATGGGAAATGTTTCTTCTATGCAGATCACATGCATGGCTCTCTTTCGACGTGTTCTTTCGTGTTCTTTTCTTTCCATTGTCTGTTCTGTGGGAGGGGAGGGTCTTAGAATTAACTCTCAGCCATATCCTGAAACACATCTCTTCAATTTCTAGCCTCAAGTTTTTGAATCAAATTGCAAGCAACTAGGCAAAATAATCAGACTTCTCATGACCTCCACTTCCTTCATGCTATCAAAATAACAGGATTTATGTCTTTGTGATTTACTGATTTGCTGTAGAAACTGCTTTAATGACTTCTGCAATGAAGTCTCATGTTTCACTTGAGCTGCAAC